TCAAAACAAGAGCTACCAGCTGTTGGGGTAAGCTTCTAACATGTGGGCCTTCACACATCTATATGACAAAGCTGGATGGCTCGGTAAAAATTGCCCACCATCTGTTCGACACAAACCCCCAATGTAGCTTCTGTTTAGATTAGTTACTAGAAAGTCGTTAATAGAATTCTTGTTGTGGAAGAGGTTGGCATTCAAATGCAACTCGTGTATTTGGGATGGTGGTGGTCTGGACCCAAATGCGATGGTGATGCAAGCAAAGGCTTGGTTGGCTGAATTCATCAAATGTAAACTTCAGCTCATAAATTCTGTTTATGAGGAGATCACTAATGAAGAAAAGAAAGAAATTGGTTTGGAATAAATCCCAAATGGTATTTCATTATGGTTTACGATTACACAGAATTTCTGGTTCCACAAGAAATGAAACCTGCACCATGATTTGACACACTCTTTTGACCCAAAACCACCTAAATCTCAAACAATACGACTACCTAAATCACAAAGATTAACAACCAGAATCAAAATGCTCCACTAACAGTAAAACATCAAATATCCCGTCAAGACAAAGAAACATTGCCAAGACTTCAAAAATTCTCAAGGGAGGTAGGTGTCTTGATCCCCATCACCATGTTAACAGTCATCCCTCATTTCCCGTCAATACACAAATGAGAGTGTGTGTGGTGGCTGTGGGAGGGTATGCTGCCGAGAGTGAAGGTTGGCTTTGTGGGTGTCGGGATGGTGAAGAGATAGAAACAATATTATAGCATCTCATTTTTAAGGGTCTATTTTTTCTAAAAGAAATATTATGTCGATCCCAGAAGAAATTTATGTGGTCCTTCCAAATCTTATAAATCTTGTAATAGAAATCTTTAAAATCATAAGTAAAAAATCTTGATTGTATAAATCCATTAAAAAAATCCTATTAGTGTTCAGAATTATTTTGATTTCATATAGACTACATGTTAACTGCGTGGTTGAAACACAAATTCAAATTCAAGTTCCTGACGATTTTAATTACCTCTAAAACATTTCCACATAGTGATCAAAATCTTTCCATCCCTTTATTTTTCAAAGGGTTAAAATGTTCCAAAACACTGGTAATACATAGAACACTATTAAAATGTAAATAAAAAATAAAGAAAAAAATGAGAAGAAAAAAAATTTGGTGAGTTTAAAACACATAAAAAATAATCGTTTATGTTCAACAAAAATTTTCTATATATAGATAAGACAAATATATTAATTAATAACAGTAGCATGAAATCCCATATTAAATAGATGATAATAGTTTAACAAGAATTAAAAATGAATCATGATAACGAAAATACTCTCCACTGAAAAAACCCTAATGAAACAGAGAAACCCTAACTAACGACGAATAAGAGCAATGATCACAGTAATGCAGACAATGAGCAGGGGCTGTATTATAAAATCAAGCTGAGTTCTCCTACGGGACTCTTGAAGAAGCAAACCATGCAATTCTTCTCGAGTCACAGCAATATCCCCTCCAGCCCTCATCCACGCAACAAAGTCATCATAATGAGATGGAAGTCCCCTAAGGACGTGACCAACATAATCGCAATCTTCAAGGGGATATCCGGCGGCGGCGAGCTCATTGGAAATTTCTTCAGCCAAATTTAGGTATTTCTCCATTGACTGCATCCATCCTTTCTTGAGGCTTTGCATGCGAGCCTTGAGACGCAAGCAATGAGATTTAGCGGCGGTAGTGAATCGAATCTCTAAGTTTAGCCACAGAGCTCTGGAGCTTGTGCAACCTAGGGTGTAGGGGAGTATGGATTTTGATAGAGTTGTAGTGATCACGGCCATGCATGTTTGGTCCTTCATAATCCAATCGGTATAGGCGGGATTTTCGTCCCTTTCTTCATTCGTCGCAAATTGTGGTGGACACTGCTCGACTCCTTCCATGATGTTGAACAAGTCCAAGTCGTAGGCCTTTAGAGTGCGGATGAACAAAGGTTTCCAGAGAAAATAGTTGGTTCTGGTGAGTAGGACCGGCACCAGGTCGGCAATGCGTTCGGTCTCTTTGAGAGGTTCAGCCATGATCGATAGGATTGATCTATAAAACAATAAATTTTATTATTCATTCATGTGAATTAATAAATCATAACCAAAAAAGAGAACAAAACAAAACCATGGGAATTTCATAGATAATAAATCAGTGGGGGGTTTTCCTCTCTCCTCAACTAAAGTTGGAAAAGATTAGAAACACATAGTTTCAACTTTGATAATTAGAGAAAAAACCAAAAGAAATAAACGACATGGAAGAGAAGAATAGAGAAAACCTGAAAATGCCGTGAGAAAGAATCTCTCTGTGCTCTTCACCCTCTAGCCAATATTTGTTGGGGTCTGCCTTTTCAACCTTTTTTTTTTTATAGTGTAGGTTTCTTAAGGAGTCCTTAATTGCATACATCTATATAATTCTTATGTTTCTGGTCTTTCACTTATAATTCCCGTATTCTTATATTCCGAGCAAATTATTTGCTATTTAGATTTCACAAACGTTTTAACCTATTAGACCCGGCCCTCAGTGTTTGGGCTTTTCTCCTCATTTTTCATAAATCTGATTCACCGCACGTGTCGAGAACCTAGAAATTTCTAAAGCCCAAATTGAAATAGATGTGAAAAAATTGAAATACTAAACACCTTTGACCTAGAGAGAGTTGACATGGACTATTAGATTATTCACGTTAATTCTCTATTGGTTCCTTCCCAATTCCTTATTGTTACATTACATGTACTTCCCACAATGCTTAAATATTGTGGATTTTAGCAGAATAAATTTTTGTTCTGGCAAGCGGATGTTATATCAGGTTAGTTTAATCTAAAACGCTTCCCAATTTTCTGTGAAATTCACATGTGGAGAGTAATTTGATTAGATATTTATCTCTAAAACATTTGTTAATCTCCACACGGTTCAAAATCTAATCTATCCCTTTCTTTTGGCAAAGACAAATGCAAAGCAATTTATTGATATGTGATGAACTCCCCTACATGGATCAAAACCTACATATCAGGTCTATACACATAAACTTATTTAGTTACTTCCTACGCCTGCCAATTATTGGAATTCTTTTATCACCCATGCTAAAACCAATACCAAAGCCAATGCCAAAGAAGATCCCAAAGATGAGTGCAATAAGAATCCTCTGTGTCTTAGATCTCTGAGTAACTTCAAGTACTTGTGGAGGGCTTTGAGGGCTTTGATGGCAAGAGCGCTTGGGAGTTGGAGGGCCACATAATCCTGGATTTCCTTCAAAGCTGGAGGTGGAATAGGTATCAAACTGACCTCCACCCGATGGTATAAGTCCCTGAAGATCATTGTAAGCCACAATGAAGGAAGACAGGAAATGCAGACTTTTGAGTGAAGAAGGAATTTCACCAGATAGATGGTTATAGGAGAGATCCAATCTCTCTAAGTTGGCGAGGTAAGAAATCTGATTGGGGATGCTGCCAGAGAAGTTGTTGTGACTAAGGTCCAACACATGAATAAACTTCAATCGGCCAATCTCAACGGGGATATTGCCACTAAGGCTGTTGTTACCCACATATATGGCTGGAGGAAGGTTCGAGACCCGTTTGTACAGTTGACTAGTACCATCCTTGAGCAGCACAAAGATCGGCAACTCAAGATAACTTATGTTCAGCTGATCACTGGCCTTTTTCGATGTAAAAACTGGCATCTGGCAGAGCTCTTTAGGGAATCCTCCTGTAAGGAGGTTATTGGATAAGTTTATGTAAAAAAGGTTGGGCAGACTACCTAACCAACTCGGAATTGAACCAGTTATACGGTTAATCTTTAGGGAATCCTCCTGTAAGGAGGTTATTGGATAAGTTTATGTAAAAAAGGTTGGGCAGACTACCTAACCAACTCGGAATTGAACCAGTTATACGGTTAAATATCAGGTCCAAGACTTGAAGATTTCGAAGTTTGGCTAGCCAGGTGGGTAGTTGACCTGTCAGTTGGCAACCACCCAAACCAAGAACCTTAAGATTTTGGAATCCATCTGGGTCTATTATGCTATCATCACCTGGCACAGGTTCAAACAGGAAATTCGCGGAGAGGACCAGGGTGGTGAGATTTTTGCAACCCATCAGAATCCTGAAAGCCCCAGTTGCATTTGTTAGGTTGTTTCTAGAGATGGAGAGGAAAGCCAGGGATTCAAGTGCCACTATTTCAGGTGATATCTGCCCTTGGAGCTGATTACCAGCCAATCTAATTGCTTTTAATGACTTGCACGAGTAAAGGCTTCGTGGTAACTTGCCCGTGAAGTTGTTGAAGCCGAGATCGACTGTGGTGAGGAGTTGGAGCTTAGAGAAATTGAAAGCAGAGAGGTCTCCATTGAAGCTGTTGAACCGCAAAATTAAGGTGGATAGATTTGTGCAGTACATGAGAGATGGAGGTAAGGGACCTGTGAGGTTGTTGCTGTGGACCAATAAATTTTCCAAGCTGGAAAGGTTACCGATACAGCTGGGAATTGGCCCAGAGAATTGGTTGGAGAAGAGCTCTAGGATCTTGAGGTTGGCCAGGGGCATGATGCCATTACTGATGGGTCCAGAGAGTTGATTGACAGGTACGGAGAGCTGCTGGAGATTAGCAGCATCATAAATGTCATCTGGGAGAGATCCCGAAAGGTCATTGAAGCCTGCTCGGAAGACTTGGAGCTTGGAACACGCCCCGAGTCCAGGGGGAATCTGGCCAGTGAATTCGTTGAACGATAAGTCCAAGAAACTGAGGGAATTAAAATTGCTATCATTTGTACAGAACAAAGAGATGGGTATAGGGCCAGAAAATCTGTTGTTGCTGACATTGAAAGTGGTGAGAGATCCTGCAGCCACAGCTGGGACAAGGAATGAAGACGGGATTGTGCCATTGAAGAAATTGCTGGACAAGTCCACAATCTGTAGCATGCTGAGGGTTCCCATCACGGAGGGTGGCAATTGGCTGACCAGATGGTTATAGCTCAAGTCGAGGACCAGGATGTGATAGAAGGAGGAAAACAAGTCATTTGGGAGAGGACCTGATAGAAAATTGTGGGAGAGATTGAGATGCGTAAGATGAGTGAGGTTGGTGATAGATGGAGGGATAACACCAGTTAAGCCTCTCCCAGGCAGCCATAGACGCACCACGCGTTGATCATCTTGGTTGCAAAGTATTCCATCCCAAAGGCAACAGTCAGTGGAACCAGACCAATTCAATGGCGATGATACTTTGAAAGCCAAGGACAAGAGGGAGTCATGGTCCACTTGGTTGCAGGCAGAGGAAAAGTAAGGCAGCAGGAGAAGCCATTGACCCAGAAGGACAAGAAGCGGTTTTCTTGATCTTTGGCCTGGTGTTACTGGGACCTCCTTCTCATCCTTGGAAGAGGTGGCTTTATTGTCTTTTCTCTTAATCATCACCATTCCTATGGAAGTTTTATCTGTTTGGCCTTCTGGTTTGAGTTTCCATGTACATGAAATACTTGGGTATTGCAGTAAATACCCATTGACCTGGAGAGAAGGGGACAGAATCCACACGCAATGCATGAACAGACTGATCCTAATCAACAAGCTTTTACGGACATAAGAAACTACTCTCTCACATTAAAATTACTTTCATTACAGAGAACTTGAAAAACACATAATAAAAAAATCTATCGCATAGCGTCTAGAACTAGAAATTACGTTTCTTAGGAAACTTCTCACATAAACGTGACTATCACATAACCAAATGGCAAACACATAAAAAATATCACATAAGCATATACTTTCTGGGCAGGCAGACCAAAAGCATGAGGGTGTGGAAGAGTTCTCTATCTGTCGCTATCTAGCATCAGAAATAGAAATTTGTGTGTAACTATTAGACTGAGAAGAAGCTGAGGGAAGATCTGGGTGCTTTATAAGAGAAGTAATAAATTTCTCCAAGAAAAGTACTTACCTTTTAGCTTCATTTGATGCTGAACCCAATAACACTTCCAATAATCATGATTCATGACCAAAAAGGAAAAACAAAATATAGAAACTACGATTTTTCCCCTTAAACTAGAAATTATTTCATATAAATTAGTAGGGTTTATTCCTCAACTAATTATTCATGTGAAGTAAGAATGATAACATGAAAAAAAATCATGGGAATTTCATAAATAATCTAATTAACTACAATTGATTTCAGAAGGGGGGTTTAATCCTCCTCTAGAAAAGTTTATAAAAGATTAGAAAAACACATGATTGAGAATGTCAAGAGAAACCATCAGAAAAACACCTATTTGTTACTGCCGTTAGAATCTCTCTATGCTCTTCTCTCTCTAGCCAACTCTTTCTTGGTCAGCTTTCAATCCTAAAGTGTCAGATTTATAATACTGTTTACTTTATTGTCAAAGCTAAGATTTAGAGATCCTCAACCAACACCTGACTAGTTGTATGCAGCTATATTAATTCCTCTGTTTCTCGCATTCTTTCTCTATTAAAATTAAGCTGCCTTAGTTCACCCAAAAAAAATATAAGCTGCCTCATATATTATTTGTTATATTGAAACTTTTTCACGCGGTTCACAGTCCCTCTCTAACACCCTTTTCTTCTACTGACCAAAGTTTATTAAATTTAAATCAATACCCCTTTTCTTTTTTTCTTTTTTGATGGTAAAAGTGCTTTTTGTTTTCTCATGTCATATGATGAATTTCCATGCATTTGGATCAAAATGTTTTTATTTCAAAACCTGTTGTTTCAGGTTTAAATACATACTTTCTGCACCTACCAACTAATGGAATTTTCTTAGCATCAATTCTAAAACCAATGCCAAAACTGATGCCAAAAGAGATCACAAAGATGACTGCAACAAGCAGCTTCTTCCTGTTATATCTCTGCGTAGCTGGATATACTGGTGGAAGGCTTTGAAGCCTTTGAGGGCAAGAGCGGTTCAGAGTTGGAGGGCCACATAGGCCCGGATTTCCTTCAAAGCTGGAGGTCGTAAAAGTATCAAATTGGCTTCCAGTTGGTACAAGTCCCTGAAGATCATTGTATGCCACACTAAAGGAAGAAAGGAAATGCAGACCTTTGAGAGAAGCAGGGATTTCACCAGATAGATGGTTATGGGAGAGATCCAATCTCTCTAAGTTGGTGAGGTTAGAAATCTGATCCGGAATGCTGCCAGAGAAGTTGTTATGACTAAGATCCAACACATGAATAAACTTCAATTGGCCAATCTCAATGGGGATCTTGCCACTAAGGTTGTTGCTACCCAGATATATGGTCGGAGGCAGGTTGGAGAGCTGCTTGTATTTCTGATTATTCGCGTTGCTGGACATGACAAAGATAGGCAACTCTAGATAACCTCTTTCCACTTGATCACCAGCCTCTTTTGATGTCAAAACTGGCAACGCACAGAGCATATTTGGAAGTCCTCCTGTAAGCAGGTTATGGGACAAATCCATGTAGAAAAGGTTGGGCAGACTACCCAACCAAGTGGGAATAGAACCAGTTATAAGGTTAAATGCCAGGTCCAAGACTTGAAGATTTTTTAGATTGGCTAGCCAGGTGGGCAGTTGACCTTTGAATTGGCAACCCTCCAGAGTAAGAAGCTGAAGATTGTGGAATCCATCTGGGTCTGTTACGTTGTCATAATCTGGTATAGTTTCAAACCCAAAGTTCTTGCCAAGGGTCAGAGTGGTCAGATTCTTGCAACCCATGAGAATCCTAAGAGCCCCAGTAACATTTGTTAGGTTGTTCGAAGAGAAGGAGAGATAAGCCAGGGATTTTAGTGCAACTATTTCAGGCAATATTTGCCCTCTGAGCTGATTACCGGCCAATCTAATAGCTGTAAGTGATTTGCAAGAGTAGAGGCTCTGTGGTAACTCACCCGTGAAGTTGTTGTTGCCGAGGTCCAATGTGGTGAGATGATGAAGAGTAGAGAAATTGAAGGCAGAGAGATCTCCAGTTAAGTTGTTGAACCTCAAATTCAAGATGGATAGATTTTTACAGTTTGTGAGTGATGGAGGTAAGGGACCTGTGTGGTTGTTGGAGTAGAGAAGCAAGCTTTCCAATCTGGAAAGCGCACCAATATGGCTGGGGATTGGTCTAGAGAATTGGTTCGAGGCGAGCCATAGGATCTTTAGATTTTTCAGGCGCGTGATGCTATTATTGATGACTCCCGAGAGAAGATTGAAAGGCAGAGAGAGCTCCTGGAGACTAGTAGCGTCGTAAATGTCATCCGGGAGAGATCCTGAGAGGTAATTGAAGCCTGTTCGGAAGACTTGGAGCTTGAAACATGCCCCAAGTCCGGAGGGAACTACGCCAGTGAACTTGTTGAAGGACAAGTCCAAAATGGTGAGGGAAGTGTGATTGTTTCCATTGCTGCAAAAAACAGAGAGGGGTATAGGACCAGTAAAGCTGTTGTAGCTGACATTGAAAGTGGTGAGGGTGCCTGCAGATACAGCGGAGACAATGAATGAAGATGGGATTGTGCCATTGAATGAATTGCTGGACAAGTCAACCGTCTGAAGTGCAGTGGTTTGGCTGGAGGAGGATGATAACTGGCCGACGAGATGGTTGAAGCTTAAGTCAAGGACCCGGAGGCGATGAAGCGAGGAAAACAAGTCATCTGGGAGAGGACCTGAGAGGGAATTCCGGGAGAGATTGAGATGGGTGAGATAGGTGAGGTTGGTGATATACGGAGATATGACACCACTTAAGCCTCTCCCAGGAAGTGATGCACGGATGATGCGTTGATCATCTAGGTTGCAAACTATTCCTTCCCAAAGGCAACAGTCAATGGAAGCAGACCAATTCAATGGTGGTGATGAAGATACCTTAGAAGCCAAGGACAACAGAGCTTTGTGATCCACTTGGTCACAGGCAGCAGAGGCAAAGGAAGGCAGCAACACAAGGAAAAACCATTGACCCAAAAAGAGAAGAAGCTGTGTTTTTGGTCCTTGGCATGGTGTTGTTGGCACCTCCTCCTTCTTCTCCTTGGAGGAGGTTGCTTTATTGTTTTTCATCTTAATGATCTCCATCCATATGCAACCATCAGTACCAATCTGTACATATAATTGTAATTATTTGACCATGTAGCTCTGGTGTGAGCTTCTGTGAACATGGAAGTACTTGGACACTACTCAGTAAACAGCCATTTGACCTAGAGAGCAGGAGAGACTCTCCAAGACATAAGCCAAAAATCAAGCACATAAAAAATGACTTTCATCACATAAAAAATGACTACCACACCTAAAGCATGACTAACACATAATAAATCTATCACAGCAGCATTTTATTTACTCGATGTCTTTGTCCTATTGACCAATTGTGATAACTCCAAAGACAGAAACTCAGTAGTTGGTACTTGGTAATTTAAAAAATTAAAAATTAAAAAAAGAATCCAATACATCTTCTAGCTTGGAAAATGGTACATTTTAAAATAAGCCCTTAAAATAATTAAATATATCTAGGAAAAGTACCAGTATTTGCAGATGAGGAGGGAAATGGCTCAACAACCATCGTTTAGCTTGATATGCCGAACCCAATACAACTTCAAATGGGTGTCCCCAAAATCTGAGCTCTTTTCACCCTGAAATTCATCAGACCATATACAACCGTTTACAACCAAAGACCTTCATGCTCTTCTCTACTATAAGAGACCAAACACAAACCCAATTTAATTTGCACGTAGCAAACTTCAAAACCAAGCTTCTTTTTATTTTTTTCTTGCACCATTACCAAGTGCTATAAATACCAAATTCTGCCCAACTTTTATTGAAGGTATGATTTTAATTTTCATATGAAACTGAGTAACTATGCGAGAGAAACTGACAATAAATTGAGTAATTTTTGCGTATGAAGCAAATGGAGCTTACCAAACTTGATTGTGGGCAGCCACCTATTTTTGTGTTTCCAAAAGCTCTGGAAATGGTGGATGCTCTTGCAACAAAACCCATTTGAATAGCTTGACTTCTGGAAGTAGCTGCTATTCACTGAAGAAGAGCCAGAGGAGAAGATAAAATTGACTGATTATCCCGTAGGCCCAAATGAAGGTTAAGAAGCATATGGGCGTTAATGACCCAGTGCAGGGATAGGTCGGCCCAGCCCATTTCTCGGGCTTCTCGTTTATGAGACATTGCTGGAAGGGGAGTAGAAAGAAAAGAAAAAACTTAGATGATTGACAAAAACAATTTTTTTAAGTACAAGTGATAGTCTAAATTATACGGCCCACAGGGACAGGGGTTTCTCATACACACACTATCACAGTGTCATGGGGGTTCAAATCAGAGACTATTAGTCTACAAGTCAAGGTCATTTTCCACTATGGTAGACCCCATGGGGGATTGCCAATTTTTTAAAAAAACAATATCTCAAGTGGAGACACAAATTAATCATTTAAAGTATGATATTGTAAGAGAGCTTTTTCAAGGCCAACAGGGTCTAACCCAATGGAAAAAGACCTTAACTTGTAGATAAGATATCTCAGGTTCAAACCCCCATAGCATCATTTGTATGTGTGAGAAATCCCTCTCCCTTCTAGTTTAGACTTTACTTGTACTAAAAAAATCTCTCCCTTCTAGTTTAGACTTTACTTGTACTAAAAAAAATAAAAAATAAAAGAGAGAGAGAGAGAGAGAGAGAGAGAGAGTTTTTTCAAGAAGGATTTATATTAACTTATTAAGTACTAGTTAAGAAATGGAACACGATCTGGGGTTGAAGAAATCTGGGGGGTGAAGAAATTGGGAGGAAGGGGGAAGAAATCTGGGGGAGAGAGAGAATTTGGGTAGGGTTTTTAATTTTTTTAAGGCCAGAAGTCACTTTTGGTCCCTGTAGTTTGGCACTTCAACCACTTTTAACCTTGTAGTTTCAATTCCGTCAATTTTGCCATTGTAGTTTCATATTTGTAGCAATTCAAGGACATGTTAATATTCTCGTCAATTTCTTTAACGATGCAAGGGGCAATTTCGTCAACCCAAAACCCTTGAGCGTAAAAGCTTGTATGAAATTCTTCCTATTTCATATTAGGGCTCGAAATTCAACCACTAATCCCAATTTTTGAAAAACCCTAAACCCATATGACCAATTTCAAGCCCTAATATGACATTAGGGGAGTTTCATACGAGCTTTTATGCTCAAGGATTTTGGGTTGACAAAATTGCCCCTTGCATCATCAAAGAAATTGACAAGAATACTAACTTGTCCTTGAATTGCTACATATGGAGTATTGCCTATGAAGTCAACCGGAGTATTAATGAGCTTTTGTACAATTTCCTCCCCAAGTACAGAGCAAAGTTTATCAATGCCCCACCAACCCTCCTTGAAGAAACTAGAAACAGGACAGTGTAGCTCAATTACTTGAGAATCTCCGGTGTAGATCAGCACCATATAGAATACCTGTCTTTTGCGTTTTCTTTTATTTTTATTATTAGTTTGATAAAAACAACAAATAAAGCTCATCACATTCCATGTTGTCTCTAATATAATAAGCTAATAAAAAACAACATACTGGTATATCTCTTCTCCCACCGCACAGATCTAAGTTGTAACTCCAGTTTGCCAACTCGTTAGCCACACTGTTTCCTTCTCTGTAGATATGAAGTAGATTGTAATTATCAAAATGCTTCAAGAGAGTACAGCAAGCATTAATCAGGGGCCAAGCCATCAATGTTTTTGACTAGGTGGACGACCACAGCAGCATCCATTTCAACATTAAGATGGGTTATACCTTTAACATCAATGTTTTTGCTTTCTTTGGATTTTATTTTTTTTTTTGGTCAACGCTTTCTTTGGATGGTATTATTGATTATTTTTGTTTTTGTTTTTTGTAAAAGGAGGGGCAAAGGCCCAGCAACAGAGAGACTACAAAAGGAGAAGACGTGGTCTGGAGGTGCCAGTGGCATCAGCAGCCAGACTATCTCTTTTGTCAGATTTCTCTCGTGGAATTATTTCCCACGCCACATCACCACCAGCTAGATCATTAGCAAACGAAAATTCTGTGGTGCATCGGCTGTACTGGTACAGCCAGTTATCCAAGGGCCAGTATTGCATTTTAAAAATAAAGGGTTGAGATTGAATGACCTGAAGACTTGTTGAGCCCTTTGTTATTAAATATCACGTGACATACACGTGACTCAGTAAAAAGCTTCAACGAACGCGCAGAAGCCCTCGCGTGCACTGAAGCTACTTATCTCTGCGATTGATCTCTCTCTCTTGAAAATCCAATCCTCATCTATGTCCCAAATCAGAATCTGGGCGTCTCACCTCTGCCGACGCCGAGATGCAACAGTCATCGGACATCGCCGATTCCGGAATCACCATCCACGCAAGGTTTGCCT